TAGTTCCATGTTTGGGCTGAGGAGTGAAAATCCAGTGTGACGCTATCTTTGCACCTTGTCCTAAATGCTACCATTTCCTGCAGGGAGGGTATCTAAACCACTGTCAGGACCTTGTGGTGTGAGCACCAACAGGGTGGTGACTCCCCTGGGAATTCGGCCTTTGCTTTGTCCAGCTCTTCTGGAAATGACCCCTGGCTCCCGGTTTAGATCAGTTCAGGGGGAAAGAAGAGGTCCCAAGTGGCCTGTCTCTTTGGACAGTAAAAGGGTTCCAGAAGTTTTCTTCAACTTCCAAATCCTCACCAGAAATAATTTCAGTCCCAGAGGGCCTTTTCTAAGCAGCCCAAGCCCTGAGTCATTCCTGTGGCTCCTAGTCTCCCACAGTGCTTGTGCTCCTCTGTCCATTCGCAGTTTTAATGATGAGTTTACTCAATGGGCTTCCCTTCTGGTTAACTTCTCCTGGTAACTCATTAAACCTCTGAGTCACACGTTCATTATTAAAGAGAGGACAGAAATGAAAGAACAGAAAGGAGCTGTGCCCTGGGAGAAAGCTGGGGGTGGATTGCTGTGGTTAAGCGAAGCTAAGGACCTGGAGGCCTTCCTGGCCTCTGTCCCCTTTGAGGATGCACCCTGCATTGCAGGATACCACACTTAACACACTGAGATCATTCCCGTGGCTGGTTTTAATAAGACTTTTTGCTGTCATAGGACACAAGCTTGCAATTCTGGTGAAAGTGCTTCCCTCCTACTTAACTGTGCCCTCTGAACTTAGGTGGTCCCACAACAACGAGGGAGCTACTAATTAAAAAGGAATCTTAACTCGCCTCTCCGAAAGAACATTAAAAGGAACCAATTCACAGCCCACGGAGATAATTCTTAATATCCCCTCTCTCCCACCACAATTTTCCCAAATCATTCCCACCCCCACGCAACCTGCCACATGATTTCTTTCCTTCTTCCCACCTTCCCTAAGGTTAAGTTTCTTCTCTCAGCCTCGGCCCCCCTTTTATTAAATAGGGCTCGTGGAAGTAGCTGATTGGTCTGTCTTTGCAAGGATTTGCAGAGATAAAATGTGTAAATGCCACCTACACAGTGCCTGGAACATTTTCAGTGCTCTGAAAGGTGAACTCTAATAATTTCCTATTTGGCCTCTGGAGTTCAGTTTGATTTTTCTCTCTTATAGAAACACTGGGGGTGGGGGGAAGCCTGGAAGCTGAGAAATGGTTGCTAAATATCAGTAACAGTAGATGTCATTCCCCGAGCATGACTTGTGTCCCAAGTGCTATGTTGAATCTTTCCTGTGCATTATCTGAATAATCCTTGGCACAGCCCTGGAGGATGGATCTTATTATTACCCCCATTTCACAGATGGGGAAATAGACTTAGAGATGAAGCAACTTGCCCTGGGCTGCAGAGATAGTAGGAGGTAGAGCTGGAAGTTCAAACTTAGGTCTCACCGACTTTGTGGAAGTATGCAAGCAAGTGTTCTCTGTGTGTGGGTTTTGACTCATAAGGGCCCTGACTGCCTGCTCAGAGAGTTGGGGCCTCTGATGAGAAGTAAGCTGCCCTTGAAAACAGCTGGCAAACCAGGGCCGCCCCTTGGGCTAGGGTGACACCACCTGGCCTGTGCCGCCACAAACTCTCTCAAGGCCTCCTTGGTTTGCAGTCAGAGACAGAGAGAAATAGAATTTCCTGCAAAGGTTGGCATTTATTTCTTAATAATCAAGTTAGAAGTATATGTAGCCTCCCTAATCAGCAAAGCAAAGGCATTCTGTACACTTATGGTGCTAGAAACTGCCAATGAGTTCGCAGGGATTTATGACAGGCTCTAGAACAGAGGTGGAGGTAGTGTGTTTGGAGTCAGGATGCTGAGTTTCTTCAGCTGCAGAGACTTCAGGTGTCCCACATGCCCGCGCCTGTCCCAGGGAACCTGAGGATGAGCAGAGGCCATGCAGGATGCCCGGTGCAAGGCCTTCATTCCACATGCTCTGGCACCACTGGGCAGGCCCATGGAGTTCTCCATCGGACGGTCCCCTCTCTGGGTCCTTAACTCAGTTGTCCCAGAGGCCAGAAAGGAACACTGGGCTTTATACCCAGTATGAAGGTCAAGATATTCCTGGATTCCAAAGAGTTAGCAGCAGGAAGTGCACTGCAGCCTGGGGTCCTGTGATGGATGCCTGGGTTTTGTGCACACAGTTGAACACCCTTGTGACCCATGTCCATTCATGTCTCTTCTTACTCTTCTTCCTTCTTTTTTCCTCCTCTATCTTCTCTTTCTCCTCCTCTTTCATTGCCGTTATTCTTCCCCCGACCTCCCCATCTTCTCTCTCTCTCTTTTTTCCATTTTACTATGAAAGTGTGAGTTGCAAGAGAATACATCAGGAATATTTGGCAGATCATTCACTCATTTAGGCTCTCACTCCTCAAATACTTACCAAGCATTTACTCTGAATAGCATGGGGTAGGGATGCAAAGGAAAGGAAGAAGTCCTTCCTGCGGGATGGGATGTGCGGAGTGCAGGGGAGGAGGCACGCAGCTGGCAGTTCTCACCGGTAGCACATTCCAAGCATCTCTCTTGTGTCCAGCACTGTGCTATTTCACTTTAACCAGATCATCTCATTTAATACTCATAGACATACTTTCAAAGGAATCTGGCATTTTATTCTCTTAGATATGAGGCTGAGACAAAAATGATGATTGTCCCAAAGTCACACAGCAAGCACATCACAGATCTGACGTGAACCCAGAGTCAGGATTATTAACAGGTCTGTTGCCTCTCGTTTAATTATAGCATGTTGGGACAAGTATCATATTAGTAGGGTCTAGTAGAGGCTTGAACCTGACCTTGAAAGGTATGTGGGAATATTCGGAGTTGGAGAAGTGATTGAAGAACACTGTAGGCATAGGAGTTGATATGAGCAGAGCCAGAGGTGTCATAGACCCAGCCTCCATGGCCCATGACCAGCAGCGTGTGTTGAGAGCAGGAGTGCTGAGGTTGGAGCTGGGCAAGGTGACCAGAGACCACCCGGGAAGACTACTGGGCCTGGACTGTGACGGGCCTTGGACTGAGTGCTCACAAGGAGCTTTGTCCTGCAGCAATGGGGTAACCAGACACTTCCTAAGAAGAGAAGGGGAATGATCAGACTTGTATTCTAAGAAGATAATCATCATTTAAAAATAAATAAGGAGGGTCTGGCGCTGCGGCTCACTAGGCTAATCCTCCGCCTGTGGCGCCTGCACTCCGGGTTCTAGTCCAGGTTGGGGTGCTGGATTCTGTCCCGGTTGCTCCTCTTCCAATCCAGTTCTCTGCTGTGGCCCGGGAAGGCAGTGGAGGATAGCTCAAGTGCTTGGGCCCTGCACCCACATGGGAGACCAGGAGGAAGCACCTGGTTCCTGGCTTCGGATAGGCGCAGCGTGCCAGCCGTAGCAGCCATTTTGGGGAGTGAACCAACGGAAGGAAGACCTTTTGCTCTGTCTCTCTCTCTCACTGTCTAACTCTGCCTGTCAAAAATAAATAAATAAATAAATAAATAAATAAATAAGGAGGGACCAGCGCTGTGGCGCAGTAGATTAATCCTCCACCTGCAGCAATGGCATCCCGTATGGGCACCGGTTCTAGTCCCAGCTGCTCCTCTTCCAATCAGCTCTCTGCTGTGGCCTGGGGAAGCAGTGGAAGATGGCCCAAGTCTTTGGGCCTCTGCACCTGCATGGGAGACCTGGAGGAGGCACCTGGCTCCTGGCTTCGGATCGGCATGGTTCCAGCCATTGTGGCCATTTGGGGAGTGAACCAATGGAAAGAAGACCTTTCTCTCTGTCTCTCTCTCCCACTGTCTGTAACTCTACCTCATTACCAGACGGCCTCCTAGAGGCCTCTCAGCCACTATGTGCCCAATCTGCACAAACAGCCACTCTTCTTGCTTTTCTCACCCTGGGCCAGTTTGGCCCGGTTTCACTGTTTCTCAGTGGAGTCTTACAGTGTGTTCTCTTTTTGTGTGGCCTTTCCCCTCTCAATGCTGTGTCTATGAACTGTATCATCGTGGGTTTCATGAATGAAGTTTGTTCTTCACTGAGTTGGGTAAATAAGTTAGAGTGGAATACACCCTTTCCTGTTGGTGGACATTCAAATAGTTTATGATTTGGGGCTACACAGCTTTTATAAATACTCTTTGATTATTGTCTTTTGGAAAACATGGATACCTGTTTTCATCAGGTATATACTTAGGAATGGAATTACTATACCTCGGGTATGTGTGTGTTTAGCTTTTGTAATCGCCAACTAGCACCTTTCCAAAGAGATTGCACCAATTTATGTTTATAGTAGAGGTGCATGCAGTTCCAGTTTTTCCATGTCTTCATCAACACTTATAGTTTTCATTTTTCCAATGGTTCTGAAAGGCTTAAAGTAATACCTTATTGTGGTCTTAGTTTGCACTTCCTAATGACTGATGATGCTGAATTTATTTGGACATTTAGCAGTTCCCTTTTTCTTGTAAAGTGTTGGTCTGAGTATTTTGTCAGTTAGCTGAAAGTCTGTGTCTAATAACTCCAGTGTTTAGATCACCTTTCAAGTCTTTCTCTTGACTTTCAATGGTTTGATTCTGTTTCTGGGAATGTTTGAAATTTTTATTGAATGCTAGATATTATTATGTATGAAGTACTGTTGGTTTTATGGATGATGTTATCTTCCCACAGAGAGAATTTAATTTTCCCAGAGAAAGTATGAAGGAGATCACCCTGATCCAGTTAAGGTTGGTCCATTTAGGGTTGACTATTTTTTTTTTTTTGACAGGCAGAGTGGACAGTGAGAGAGAGAGACAGAGAGAAAGGTCTTCCTTTGCCGTTGGTTCACCCTCCAATGGCCGCCGCAGCCAGCACGGTGCGGCTGGCACACCGCGCTGATCCGATGGCAGGAGCCAGGTGCTTCTTCTGGTCTCCCATGGGGTACAGGGCTCAAGTACTTGGGCCATCCTCCACTGTACTCCCTGGCCACAGCAGAGAGCTGGCCTGGAAGAGGGGCAACCGGGACAGAATCTGGCGCCCCGACCGGGACTAGAACCCGGTGTGCAGGTGCCGCAAGGCGGAGGATTAGCCTAGTGAGCCGCAGCGCCGGCCAGGGTTGACTCTTAATCACAGGTCATGGCTCTTTCAGTGACTAAATGGAAAGCCTGCTTGTTTAACCAGTCCCTCCTTGTCCGTGGTTCTGAATCCCAATTTTTTGTTTCTCCAGCCCACTGAGACTGCCACAATCTCCAGGCTGCTGATTTCCATTTGACTTTTCTACTTGTATCCTATATTATCCAATGTCCTGAGGGGAAAACGTAGCTCTGGCCAGAACTACATTTGTTTCAGGGAGTATTGCTGCTCTTTGGGGTCATGTATCCTCAAATGTTGCCTTTTTTGGTTGTTCTACAGGGTCTTCTGGCAACTTTGTGTGTGTGTGTGTGTGTGTGTGTGTGAGAGAGGGAGAGAGAGAGAGAAGAGAGATACAGAGGCGAGGCGAATGTGTGTGTGGGAGGGGAAAGAGAATGTATGTGTGTGTACGTGGGATTTTGTCTACCTTTAGTAGATGTTCTTAGCAGGAGTGCTAGTCTGATACCAGCTGCTCCATCATAACTGGAAGTGTAAGCCTTTACCCACATTTAGAATAATTCTTAGAAGGACATTTCAACAGACTTCCTCTTTCAGTATTTAATTCTTCCAGTATTGCCTTTTTGATCAAGGATTTCCATGTGTCTCTCTCCCCTCCCTAAGTGGTGAGGGAGCAAAGCCCTGTGTTAGAAATGTGGGGTTTTCCAGTGCAGTCAGGGGCAGACCCAGGGAATTGGGCTCCAATTTATTTTTCAGCTTTTCTTCCCTTAATGTGCAAATATGGTCAGAAGGGTGGCAGGTTAGCACAATATTCTTTCAATTTCTGGCCAGCTATATTACATGTTTAAATGAGAATATTTCCTTGTTAAGAAAGCATTATTTTTACTTATATGAACCAATAAGACACTTGTTATATTCAAAGAATTTAAGATGCAGAGTTTAAGTTTGTGAATTAATAGACTTTATTTTTAGAGTAGTTTTAGATTTGGAAAAAAAAAAAAACCACCTGACCTGAAAGTACTGAGTCCTCACACGCCCCTTCTCTTGCTCACAGAGTTTCCCTTATTATTTACATCTCAAATTGATGTGGTACAGATGCAGTTTTGAAACTGAGTCAACGGTGACTTCTTCCCAAGGGCTTCTCATCCTCAGCAGTAGCTCACAGGTTAGTGTTTTTTTCCCTGTGGGGATGGAGGGGAAGACATGGATGGGCCAGAGCATTCCCCACACTCATCTGTGCCCATACACAGCTGTGATTAGGAGCAAGCATCAGATCTCAGTGACGTTTTTAAAATTAATCAGACGTGTGTAACCTCCGGGATATCCAACACCCAGAGTGCAGAGACATCCCAGGGCAGAACGTTTCTGTGGGAGTACCCTTGGCCGGGGAGAATGTGGCATCAAGTTCCAAGCAAAAGCCGAGTCTCTTCCTTGGTTATCCTTAATGGCTCTGGAGAGAGTAGCCTTGGCTAATATGCTTTGTCACGTGAGTAAAAGCAGTCAGCTTTAAATGGTACTCCCAAATAGGTCATTTTCCTTGTTGAAAAGTTTTTTTTTTTTTAAATAGTGATGAAACATACATGACACACAATTTGCCACCTTAACCAATTTTGGGTGTAAGGTTTAGCGACATTAAGTGCATTCACACTGTTATGGAACTGCCACCACCATCCATCTCCAGAACATTTTCCATCTTGTAAAGTCGAGAATAGGGACCTATTAAATAATAGCTCTTCGTTCTCTTCTTACCTCAGCCCTTGGCAACCACCATTCTACATTTTGTCTGTATGAATTTGACTTTCCTGGGAACCTCATACATACAGGTGGAATCATACACTATGTGTCCTTTCATGATTGACTTATTTTGCTTAGCATGATGTCTTCAAGATCCATCCATGTTGTGGCAAAAATCCAAATCCCCTTCCTTTTTAAAACTTCTTAAGACATTGTATATATTCCACATTTTCTTTAACCGTTCATTCACCTGCTTGAGGGCACTGGGCTGCTTAAATTAATGCCTTTGCTTTAGAATTAGAAAGTTACTCTCTAGCCAGATATTTCATCTATCATCAAGGAGCTCTGGCTTCCTTGATTTCTTTGCAATAAATATAAAATTTTCAGCCAATAAGTTGGAGGTGCCAAAATTCTCACTCAATTTATATTATGGTTGCTAGAGATTGCAGGCTTACAGAATGAATCAGAGGTAGATTCCATACCCACAGATGTATGTTTCAGTGGTGAAATAAGCTGAATACTCAAGTAATATTACTTTTTGGTGAATACAGTAGATGAGAGAGGGGGCATCAGGAAGTAAGATGGCAATGTTTGACTAGGCAGACTAAAGAGTTCTATTTCCATTTTTATTGTTCTGCTAATGCACACCCTGGGAGGCAGCAAGTGATAGCCCAAGTACTTGGATCCCTGCCACCCATGTGGGAGACCTGAATTGAGATCTAGGTACCTAGTTCAGCTTGGCCCAGCCCCAGCTGTTGTGGGCACTGGATTGTGAACCAGTGAATGGAGGATCTCTTTTTGTCTATCTCTATTTCTCTGCTTTCAACTAAAAATAAATAAGATTTTTTTTAAAGATTTAAAGAAGAACTAAATTTAGATTGAGTTTGGATTTAATGGGTAGGTGGTGGGAATCCACTGAAGACTGGATTTTAATATATTTCTGGATTAGTTTTTTTATTTAATTTTGTTTTATAATTATGTAAAATGTAGACATGCTTATAAAGTTAAAACTCTGAAATATGGTACATGCAGACACCTAGATTTCATCCAAATGTCCTCCCCATGTTTTTTCCCTTCTCATATAGGTAACCCATTTTTTTCCTTCTATTTCATGTTTTCAAAAATACAATATAAGCAAGTATATATTCATATTTTCCTTTTATTCAAAAGTAACACATTAGGTGCACCCTCTGCATCTTCATTTTCAGTTAAATTCATATCATTATGGAGACATTTCCCTGATTTCTTTCTTTGTCTGCATAATACTCTAGCATTATGATATCATAATTTATTAAACCAGTCCCCCATTGATGAACATTTGAGGGTTGTTGTCAGTCACTTCCTATTATAAATTGTGCTTCAGTGACTAGCCTTGTGCATGTATCATTTGCTATGTTGCTAGTGTGTCTTTGGGATAGATTTCTAGATCACAGGGTCAAGGCATAAGAAATTTTGCTATGTATTGCAAAAATATACTCCAAAGGGGTTATGCCATTTTGTATTCTTGTTTGCAGTGTATGCCAATTCCTGTTTCTTTGCAGTAATGTCAGAGGAATATGTTGTCAACCTGGATGCAGGCCTATCTGGTAAGGGGAAATAATGTCTTGATTTGGTTTTAAATTGTATTCACAGAAGCTACTACACTTGGTCTTAGGCAAAGGGTTGAGAAGTGATTCACCGAAGCTACTAATACTCGTATTTTAGGGAAAAGTCAGTGGACTTTAATAAGGTAGTAAATGGAGAAGCTGATGAGAATGAGAAGTGGAGTAGAAGACCAGGGAGAAGCAAATATAGGTGACAATTTATTGTTTGAGTTACTCATGGGCGTCCACACAGAGGCGCTCATTATGCCTGTGGAGCTAAGAAAGCACATGAAGATGGTAGGAGAAGCTGTGAGATCATATGAGGTTGCGAAGATGAGAGGAGGGGCAAGAAAGTGTGTTTCTAAGTCAGTGTGATTGGAGGAAACAGACCATCCTTTGCCTTCTCTGTGCTCCCTCCTTTCTTAGGTATTGAAAATTTCACTTTTAATATTATTTTCAGGCTCAGAGGTGACAGACTTGCTGTCTTCTATCCTGAAGTATTTGAACAGAGAATGACAAATGAAAACGGTCCTGACCCTCTGTCACTCAAAATGTTGTCAAGTCTTTCAGTACCAGGGGCATCACCTGTGAGTTGTTAGAAATGCTGAGGCTAGCTGGTGCCGTAGCTCAATAGGCTAATCCTCTGCCTGTGGCACTGGCACACCGGGTTCTAGTCCCAGTTGGGGCGCTGGATTCTGTCCCAGTTGCTCCTCTTCCAGTCCAGCTCTCTGCTGTGGCCCAGGAGTGCAGTGGAGGATGGCCCAAGTGTTTGGGCCCTGCACCTGCATGGGAGACCAGGAGAAGCACCTGGCTCCTGGCTTTGGATTGGCGCGGTGTGCTCTGCTGGAGTGGCCACTGAGGGGGTGAACCAACGGAAGAGGAAGACCTCTCTGTCTCTCTCACTGTCCACTCTGCCTGACAAAAAAAAAAAAAAAAGAAATACTGAGGCTCAGGCCCTACCCCAGACTATGACTTGGAACTTTCCTTTTTCCAGGATCCACAGGCAATTCATGGGCTCTCCACAGCCCTTTGAACAGCTGGGCTTTACTGGACAAAATCAAAAACCAATTGACTGGCTGTGCCTTATACTTGTAATCCCACATCCTGGCTGGATGCTGTGTACTTCCTGCCATGTTTCTCTAGAGGGATTGCTCTCACAATCCCTAGGGGGATTATTTCATGCTTTTCCCCTCTGCAAATCTCTCACTCGTCCTTCTACTCATCAATGTCCACTTCTGTTTGTAAAGTTTTACTTAAATGGGATTGGCATTGTAGCACAGTGGGTTAAATTACCCCTTGGAACTCCCATATCCCATATAGGAGTCCCTGGTTTGAGTCCCCCTCTTCGCATCCAGTTTTCTGCTAATGTGCCTGGAAGGGAAAGGATGATGGTCTTAGTGCTTGGGTCCCTACCACCCATGTGGTATGCCTGGATGGAGTTCCAGGCTCTTGGCCTTGTCCTGGCCCAGACCTTGCTGTTGTGGGCATTTGGGAGTGAATCCACAGATAGAAGATCTCTTTGTGTCTCTCCCTCTGTCTCTGCCACTCTCTGCCTTTCAAGTAAATAAGTACACCTTAAAAAAATATTTATCTGGGTCAACGCTGTGGCTAGGCCTCCGCCTGCATTGCTGGCATCCCATATGGGTGTTGGTTCTAGTCCCAGCTGCTCCCCTTCTGATCCAGCTCTCTGCTATGGCCTGGGAAATCAGTAGAAGATGACCCAAGTGCTTTGGCCCCTGTATCTGCATGGGAGACCTGGAATAAGCTCCTAGCTCCTGGCTCCTGGCTTCAGATTGGCCCAACTGTGGCCATTGCTGCCATTTGGGGAGTGAACCAGTGGTGGAAGACTTTTCTCTGTCTCTCCCTCTCCCTGTAACTCTACCTCTCAAATAAATAAATAATATTTTAAAAATATTAATTTGAAAGGCAGAGATTCCCCATTTGCTGCTTCACTCACCAGCACCCACTCATGAGTGGCAGGGACCCAATTACCATGGCCTCCCTTGGTCAGCATTGGCAGGAAGTTGGAGTCAGGATCAGAGCTAGGAATTGGACCCAGGTACTTAAATGTGGGACACAAGTGTCTTAACTGCCTGCCACTTCCCCATTTTATCCTGCAAATAGGAGCTGTCAGAGGAGAGCTGCTTCATTCTCCCACTACCAGGTTTATCACCATGCTGGTATCTCCATGCCTCTTTCTCTATAATGTGATTGGAAAAGTGAACTCCCCTCCCCAACTTAGATCCAAGGCCACTCTTGTCCTCTTCTCTATGGCATGGCTCCTTTGGCTGTTTCCTTCCAATGCCTTCAATGGATCCCTCTTTTCTGGATCATTCTCAAAAGTAGACAGAATGATCTGATACCAACTGTCTTTTTAAAAATCACCTCTTCCTGAATGCCTCACTGTAACCTCTACCCCACCTTTTTGCTTCTTGAGAAAGTGGCCTTCATGCTATGTCTCTGTTTCTCTGTCTTCTACCCACCTTTGAATGTACTTCAGCCTGATCCCCAAGGTCCTCATACTGCTGATCTGCTCTTGTTGAGGTTACCAGTGATCTCAGTGTTACCAATGCCACCAGTGATCTCAAATCCAGGATGCTTCAACATAGTGGACCATCTTCTCCATCTTCAGATGTTCACTCTGTGGTTTGGGGAAGGGACCGTGGTTTGCTGAATTTTCTCCTACAGCATTGGTCTCCATCTGCCTCCTCTAGGTGACTTCTCAGTGTCGATGTTCTACAGTTCCTCAAGGCTCAGTCCCAATTTGTGCTCTTCTCTTATTTTGTACCCCTCTCCTCTCCTCACCTCTCCTCCCTTCTCTCCTCCTCTCCCCTCCCCATCACCGCCCTTATTTTTATTCTTTTCTTTCCAATCACTCTCTTTTATCTTTGTTTCTACCTCTGTCATTTCCTGCTGTTCCCTCTTTGTCTTTGTTCAATTGTTACCTCTCTCTCCTCATGGTCTCCTCTCTTGTACTCTCTTTCTCACGCCCCTTCTCCTCAAATCTCTGTTTTCTTTCTCCATTCTTTCCCTTAAAACAAATAAAGTTCTTTTAGATGGAACATTGAATTTAAAGTTTCTTTTAGATGGAACATTGAATTTAAAGTTTCTCTGTTGCCTATCCTCAACTTGTTTTGTGCATTTGCATTGTCTGCATAATTGCTCTGGGCATTTATTTATGATCACTCTCTTAGATCCTATCTTGTAGTTATTTATGAAAACATTTTCCTCTCTGTCTTGACAATATGCTGTTTAAGAATTGGTTCCATTTATTCCCAACAGTGCCTGACATAAGTACCTTAGGAATAATAGAAGAGGAATTTATTTAATAAAATAAATAAGAAAACAAATACACACACCCCAATACAATGATTTTTGAAAACCTAAAGCTGAAAACATGTTTGTCCTTCCATGAGTAAGGAAAATGTGGGGTTGGACACCTAATGGGCATTTGGAATTTTTGGTTGACTAATAGTAGCAATTCATAGATTCCTGACATGGCAAAGAACTTAACGACTATCATTCTAATTATTTAAAAATATGATGAAATATCTATATTTTAATAGATTAAGGCTAATGATATATTTTACTAGAAGTAGAAATAGGGACCAGTGCTGTGGTGTAGTAGGCTGGGTCTCTGCCTATGGGGCCAGCATCCCTTATGGCCACCAGTTCATATCTCAGCAGCTCCTCTTTTGATCCAGCTCTCTGCTATGGCCTGAGAAAGCAGTAGAAAATGGCCCAAGTGGTTGGGCCCCTGTACCTGCACAGGAAACCTGGAGGAGACCTGGATCTTGGCTTTGGATCAGCCCAGCTCTAGCCTTTGTGGCCATTTGGGGAGTGAACCAATTGGGGAGTGAACTATTTTAAAGTCAGTTACAGAGAGACGAAGAGAGATCTTCTATCTGCTTGTTCACTCCCCAAATGGTCGCATTGGCCAGGGCAGGGCTAAGTCAGACCAGGCCAAAGCCAGGAGCCTGGAACTCTATGTGGGACTCCCACATGGATGGCAGGAGCCCAAGCAGTTGGGTCACCTTCTGTTGCTTTCCCAGGCACATTAACAGCAAGCTGGATTGGAAAAGGAGCATCCGGGACTCAAACTGGTGTTCCATATGTGTTGCTGGAGTCACAGATGGTGGCTTAACCTGCTGCACCACACTGGCTCCACTTCATTCTGTCCAGAGAAATACTTGATGGAAATACAGATGGAAACCATCTGTTAGAAAAGGAAGGGGGTTGGATTGGAGAGCTCTGAACCTGCTTCCTCTGTGGGTGGATCTCCCTGTTCCTTCTGGCAGAGAGTGGAGGTGTGTCAGTTTAAATAAAGAGGAGGAAGAAAGAGAGTAAAAAAAGACAGAGGAGAGAAAGGGCTAAGCACTCTCCTCTTTTTCTAGAGATGGTGGCTTTCCCATCTCTCCTGAGACTCGTCAGCACCTGCCTGGTGGACAGCACCACGTATCTAAACTCTAAGCTTCTCACTCTAAGGCCAGACACTGTGATACAGAATGGAAGCATCCCAACCTGGTATCTTAATCATTAGGCCAAACACTCACCATTCATTTAATTTTTTTAAAAGAATGAGATCTACCTAATTAGTGAATTCTGAGCCTAGCCACCAGCAGGGAGCTGGATCTGAAGTGGAGCAGCCGGGACATGAATAGGTGCCCATATGGGATGCTGGCATTGCAGGCAGTGGCTTTACCCACTAAGCCACAATGCTGGCCCCTCTGATCATTTACTTTTATTTCTGGAGGAAACTCTGGTGAGTCACAAAGATCCTTTCATTTCAGAGCTGCTGTTCAGCTGTCAGCTCTCATCCTTGGTTGTCCTGAAGTATCCAGATTCCCTTATCTCACTACTTCAACTTCCCCTGACTCTCCTCCTCCTGCTGCATTCATCCTGGCATTCAGCGATGTTTCCTGAGCACCTACTTTGTGTCAGGCTCCAGGTGCTAGGGATAAAAGGGTGAACCATATATACATTGCTCCTGCGCTAATGCATGCCATAATATGGTGAAGAAACACAACTTGAGGAGTGAGAGGGAGTCAGGCAAGTAAAAAGAGAGGAAAGAGTGTTCTAGGCAGAAGGTAAAGAAGTGCAAGGGCTGAGACAAGAAATAATGTTGGCACTGGGGACTTGAAAGAAAGCAGTGCCACCCCCTGGACACATACAATGGCATTAACAGAATAAAAAGATAGATTTGTCTGAAGATGGAATCCTTTGTGCACACTTCCACATGCTGCTATTAAGGAACTGGCACGGACAATTGCCCACAATCACTTAGTCAATGAAGAATCTATCCTGAATGCATGATTCTTTATGTACATTGTATCAGTTTGGACTTTCAATTGTGAGTTCTAGAAAGCCCAGAATATGCCTAAGCAAAACAAATATTTGTTCACGTAACTGAAAAGTCCATGAGTAAAGCCACCATATGGCCTAGCTTCATCAGGGATGCAAATGTTCTAGGTCAGCACTGTCCAACAGAGATCATGTGACCCATATGTATCATCACATCAACACGTATTCAATATGAAAATTATTAGTGAGGGCTGGCGCTGTGGCACAGTAGGTTAATCCTCTGCCTGCAGCACTGGCATCCCATATGGGCGCCGTTTCTAGTCCCCGCTGCTCCTCTTCCAATCCAGCTCTCTGCCTGGGAAAGCAATAGAAGATGGCCCAAGTGCTTGGGCCCCTGCACCAACATGGGGGACCAGGAAGAAGCACCTACCTCCTGGCTTCGGATGGTGCAGCTCCGGCCGTTATGACCACCTGGGGAGTGAACCAATGGAAGGAAGACCTTTCTCTCTGTCTCTTCCCTCTTACTGTCTGTAACTCTGCCTCTCAAATAAATAAATAAAATCTTTAAAAAAAAGAAAATTACTAGTGAGTGACTTTGTATTTCTTTTTCATACTAAGTCTTTGAAATACCATGTGCTTTTTTTGTCTATGTCACATATCAATTTGTAGTATTCATATGTCAAGTTCTCAGTGGCTACCATTTTGGACAGTGCAGGAAAAGGTTTAGATCATCTCTATTTCAGTACATGTGAGAATGAACTAGGCTGTGTTCTTAGAAACCTGAACAAAAACTTCTTTGCTTCTCTAACATGGTCACATGACCACCTTGAACAAACATTATGACCAGGAAGTAAGTAATGCACCCAATAGTTTACCACAAATCACAAGTTGTACCCTGGCAGTGCAGGAGAGGGTTAGGCTCCACCTGAGCTCTATGTACGGAATAGATGTGTATTGCTTTGATCACCTGGTATCCATTTGTCTGGCCTCAAGTGATAATGTTTGGGGACTTTGTCCTCCCTACATGGAAGAGGACTAGAAAGCAGAAATATCAGTGGATGATACCACTGGAAAGTATGATCCCAAGGGTTATAATGGGTATCACTTTTCTGTTTTACATATTTCATTTTTTTTGTTTCTTGTGAGTAGCGTGTACTATTTTACTTTATTTTTCTTTTTAATGAAGCCTTTCTTTTTAACTTAGCCTTCTTTGTTCTAAAAAGACTAAGGTCAAAAGGGGTAATGATTTAATGTTAGGCAGACCAAATGGTTGGTGTTCCTTGGATAGTCCTAGCTTATACCATTTTTACACTGTAATTATTAAGAGAAACTCTTTCATCTCCAAACTGTACCATCTTTGGAGCAAATGGTCAGCCACTATAACATTTTAAATGCATGATAAGTACTGACATGGTTAATTCAGACTTTAAAAATATCTTGAGACAATAGAATTATTTGATAGAAATACCTTGAAGTGCAATAAAAGAGAGTAGTCACAGCTTGTAATTCTGCATCCACGAGGAGTGAGGTATTCCAGGAGTTAATTTTCCTAACTGAAGCTTGCCCTTTAAGCGTCAAAACATTTTAACATTTAAGCACTTTCGATGAAAATATTACTCTGTTATGCTGTGTATTTCCCAGACTTGCCAGGTAGAGGAGGACAAACATAATTGAACTACATGTTGCTGACACAAGTCATTGCAGGGCATCCTGCCGGTGGACAGAGGCTCACTTGTGTGTTGTGAATGGATTACAGGGGTGTGGAAATGTGATCCCTCCACATCTCCCCTTCCCAGGGAAGCCAGGCAGGGACTGGGTAGCCATCAGTTGGCACTGGCTGTTTCCCTCTTATGTCATCTCTATAGATTTTGTTTTCTAGGTGCATTTCGACTTGTGAAAGGCCAGGAAGCACTCTGTGTTGTTGTGTGTTATAATTCCGAGATTTTGACAGGGTCGCCTGGCTGGTCGTCCGGGTTACAGAGGGACTTATGTTGGTGCTGGATGTCTCCAGACGGAGCAACTGGTTCGCCCTCTTTGCTGTACTCTTCCTGTTTACTCTGCTGGCCATTGCAGTTGCTTGCCATTGTCTTTCCTATTTAGTCTGCTTTTAGGTTTGTTAGGTCAGGTGAAACATGCTTGAGCAGAGCTTGCCTCTTCTAGCTGAAGATTGAGTTGCAGCTTTTTGTATTGTTGTGGTCGTGGTCGTCTTCTTCTTCTTCTTCTTCTTTTTTTTTTTTGACAGGCAGAGTTAGCAAGAGAGAGAGAGGCAGAGAAAGGTCTTCCTTTTCCGTTGGTTCACCCCCCAAATGGCTGCTACAGCTGGCGCGCTGTGCCGATCTGAAGCCAGGAGCCAGGTGCTTCCTCCTGGTCTCCCATGCGGGCGCAGGGCCCAAGCACTTGGGCCATCCTCCACTGCCTTCCCGGGCCACAGCAGAGAGCTGGACTGGAAGAGGAGCAACCAGGACAGAATCCGGCACCCCAACTGGGACTAGAACCTGGGGTGCCAGCGCCGCAGGTGGAGGTTTAGCCAAGTGAGTCGCAGCGCCGGCCGCATTATTGTCTTCTAAGCTTGTTTCTGTGTTGCTGCTACACTCCACATGCGTCAGATAACCCTAGAGTGTAATGTTAGGCCTTCCCATTAGAGATGTAGATATCTTAAACAGAACTCTTCTATCTCAAGAGCTAGTTATGGCTTAAATATATATATATATTTATATATATGTATATGTGTGTGTGTATTTATGTAATTTGAAGAAAGTTAAATAAATTACTAGATGATTTGTTGTAATGCAATATTACAGTGAAAAAAAGTCATACTTTTATATTTTATATATATTTGGAGAGAAAAAAAACAGAGACAGAGGAGAGAGAGATTCAGAAAACATGGAGAACATGGAAAACAGTTACACCCTCTTTAAAAGTCAACCTCTGCAAGGCCAGTTATCATGCTTGCTCAACAAATGGACCCTTGTTGCCATTCTGAAACCCCATGTCCTCTGTTGGACAACTGGTCTCAGCCTATAAGGCATTTCTGAGGTTTTCATGTTATTATGCACAGGGGAGCCTTTTCCATCATTATAAATGACAGTGGGGAACATTCCTGGTTCATACAGAATCTTAATATCATACTTGGAGCAGTATGGCAGAAGTTTAAAAAGTAAGGACTTCAGATATAATGAACCTGGGATTGAATTCTGGTTTTAGGATACACTAGGATTCTGGTTCTAGGATGCATTGGACAAATTCCCTAATCCCTATGAGCCCCCATTCTTTCACTAGGTTTTGGTGAGGATGAAATGAGAGAATGTATATAATTAACTAAACATAGTCTCTAGCTTATAGTAAATGATCACTAAATGGTGATTTTTTTATCATTACTATTAATAATAATAACATGGAGGTAGTTAATGTTGAATGGCAAGATTTATATTTGGGGAAAATGTGATAAAAAATAAAAAATGATATTTTTGTCAGTGGCTTAATTTTTAGTAATTGGTTTCCTAACATATTTCTCAATAAATTGTGACATATATGAAAGATTCTAAAGTGGGGACCCTCTAGAGCTACTTTGTTTTTAGAAATCCAAGGTGTTTACTGTGTAGCATCATTTTCTTTGCAAGATTATTCCAGACTAGTAAATACTTCCGGCAAGATGATTGCCCTGGATTATAGCTGACTCATCATTTTACAGGGTCTGCCTTCTACTTTTTTGGAAACTCAGTACATTATTTGTATTTTACTTAATTTCTATGTAATTTTCCCTCTATATCCAACATTTCTCAAAAAAGAACAGATAGACATGTTTCCCTTAAGGAAGTTTCCAAGAGGACAATGAGTATTCTGACCAAGCCAATCTTTCTCCTGCTCACTATTGCAAGAAAGATGCATAAATCCTAAAAGAAACAAGATTCTTATTTTTACTCAAATTATGTAGAGAATCGGAAACAGTGTTGTTCTCAAATTATGAAAAAAAAAAAAAACTCAACAAATAGCAAGTTCACAACTTTCCTTGAGCTCATCCAAGTATTGAAGTTCCTAAGAGCAGATCCAGCATAGGAAGACAGCAGTCTGCAGGGTGAAATGGGCCATGAGCACTGACTTATCTGGGTAGGAAACCATCAGATACCAGTAAGAATTCAGCTAGGATTGCAATAGATGACGTTTGGCTGAGTGCACACTGGGTTAGATCCCTAGGGGCTATAAATAACAGGAGTGGGATCCACACCCTCTCACAAACATTTCTCCATGAACCCTACTGTAATTCACAGAAATATTTGGGAAAGTCTCCTGTGCGGTGAACTACTAGAGGAAAAGAACAGAAGCTGCTATCAGTCAGGTGAGAAACTCCATGTGGACCCTTCTCCCTGTATCTCTGATGACTGAACATATGAATTAATGTGGCATGCATGTAGAAGGGGAAAAATACTGTCACTGTTAGGCTATTGGTGGAATGCCATTACAGCTGAGGCAAGGAACAGCCCTAGAGGAAGGGAAGATCTGACTTTCTGGATTCAGAAGTAACTTAGAGGAGAAATGGGATCAGCTTTGAGATTTGGTGATATGCAGTGCTTGCCTAAGATTAACGCTTAATCAGAACAACAGAGGACATTTCCTCCCCCACCTCAAACTAGGCTAGCAAGAGAAGACAGAAAAAGATGGTGAAAGAAGGGTGTTGTGACATAGTGGATTAAGCCGCTGCCTGAAATGCTGACATCCCATATGGGTGCTGGTTCAAGTCCCGGCCGCTCCATTTCTGATCCAGCTACCTGCTAATGTGCCTAGGAAAGCAGTGGAGGATGGCTCAAGTGCTTGGGCCCCTGCCACCCATGTGGGAGATGTGGAGGAAGCTCCTGGCTCCTGGCTTTGGCCTGGCCCACCCCTGGCTGTTGTGGCCATTTTGGGGAGTCAACCAGCAGATGGAAGATCTCTCTCTCTCTCTCTGCATTTCAAATATATAAAAAATAGAATAAATCTTAAAAAATAAAAGAACAGTTGAACACATTAAACAGCTAGCAAGACAACAGGCGTTAATTCAGTCGTATCAGTAATCCCATTAAATGTGATTGGTTCAAACATGCCCATTAGAAGATAGAGATTGCCAAATTGGAAAAAGAGCAAGATCCAACTTTATATACACTATCTATAAGAAACCCACTTTATTTTTTAATATTTATTTTTTATTTGAAAGGTAGCATTACAGAGAGATACAGAAAGATAGATCTATGTACTGGTTCACTGCCTACCTGACTACAATAGCCAGTTCTGGGCCAGGCCAAAGCTAGGAGCTTCTTCTGGGTCTCCCACGTAGGTGGCAGTGACTCAGGTATGTGGACCATCTTCTGCTGCTTTAACAGGATAATTAGCAGGGAGCTGGATCAAAAGTGGAACAGCCGGGATTCCAACCAGTGCCCATATGGGGTGCTGGCATTGCAGGAGGCAGCTTAACTTGCTATGCCACAACACCAACCCCAAGAAACCCACTTTAAATGCAAAGACAGATAGATTAAAAGTAATAGGACAGGAAAAGATAGGTTGTGCAAACATTAATTCAAATGAAACTTAAGTCTTTAGGTTAATATCAGGTTATCAAAATAGACTTAGAATAAGGATTATTATCAGGGATAAAGAGGGACATTAAATAATTATTTAAGGCTCACTTTGCCAAGAAAACATAACAACAGAGCTTCAAAATACATAATGCAAAAGTTGATAGAGTTGAAAAGTGAAATAGATGAATTCACAAAATATTTCAAAAACCTCAATGACACAAAATTTGACAGCTTGGGTGAAGTGGACCAATTTCTTGAAGGATACGAACACCATAACTCATTCAAGAAGTATATTTCCTGGGGAAATTGAATTTGTTGTTGAAAATCTTCCAAAAAATAAAAACTCAGGGACTGGATGGTTTCAGTGCCAAATTCTATCAAATATTTGAATACTAATTCTATAGCATGTCTTCAAGAAATTGAAGAGAGAGCAACACTTCCCAAAGTATTTAATGATGCCAACAGTTCCCTAATAATCAAATCTGGCAAAGATATTACAAGAACAGTTCTTGCAAAGATCCTCATTCAAATATTAGTAAATCAAATCTAGAAGTATATGTGTATGCTTTTTTTTGTTTTTTAATTTTTAAAGTTTTTAATGGGTCCCAAATGTTTTATTTTTTCATTAATATAGAATTTATTTATTTATGGGTCCCCAATTTTTTTTTCATGATTAATCTAGAATTTATTTTTTCCCCAGAAACCTTTTATTTGAATATAAACTTCATGCTTTTCATAAATAAAACTTTAGGAGTATATTAATTCTTCCCACCATACCCACCCTCCCCACCCCTCTTCCTCCTCCCTCTCCTATTCCCATTGTTATTTTTTACTAAGATCTATTTTCAATTAACTTTATACACATAGATTAACTCTATACTAAGTAAAGAGTTCAACAAATTGTATGAAAAAAAAAATAAAAGCCTGTTCCTCAACATTGAGACAAGGACTTTTCAAAGTCATTGCACCTTGAAGTGTTAATTTTACTACTATAGATTACCTTTTAGGTGCTCTATTAGTTTTCACAGATCAGGGAAGAACATTTGGTATTTGTCCTTTTGGGACTGGTTTATTTCACTAAGTATGATGTTTTCAGTTTCATCTATTTTGTTGCAAACAACAGGATTTCATTTTTTAACCGCTGTGTAGTATTCCATGGTGTATATATCCCATAATTTCTTTATCTAGTCTTCAGTTGACAGGCATTTGGGTTGATTCCATATCTTAGCAATTGTGAATAGCTAATTGTGAATTGAGCTGCAATAAACATGGGGGTACAGGTAACTCCTTCATATGCTGATTTTATTTTCCTTGAGTAAATTCCCAGGAGTAGGATGGCTGGGTCATATGGTAGGTCTATATTCAGATTTCTGAGGTAGCTTCATACTGTCTTCCATAGTGGCTGTACCAGTTTATATTCCCACTAGCACAGTGGATTAGGGTACCTTTTCTCCCACATCCTTGGCAGCATTTGTTGTTTGTTGACATCTATGTGAAAGCTATCCCTTCATGGGGATGAGGTGAAAGCTCATAGTGCTTTTGATTTGCATTTCCCTGATGACTAGTGATCCTGAGCATTTTTCATGTGTCTGTTGAGCATTTGGATTTCCTTCTTTTGAAACACCTAGTTAATTCCTTTGCCCATTTCTTAGCTGGGTTGTTTTGTTGTTGAGTTTCTTGATCTCTTTATATATTCTGGTTATTAATCCTTTATCAATCACATAGTTTGCAAACAATTTCTCCCATTCTGTTGGTTGCCTCTTCAATTCTCCATTAAAATGTTAGTATATAAAATCTAGGAGTATATATATATATGTATATGCTATATTTAATACATCACAATTAAGTGTAGCTCATCTCTGGAATACAAGGCTAGTTTAACACTGGAAAATCAATCAACATAATACATTGTATTTACAGAACCAAGGAATAAAAAAAGTATGATTATTTCAATAGATTTAGAAAATGCTCTTGATCATCTGTATATAAAGATAATTGAAAATGAATCTTGATGTGAATGGGATGGGAGAGGGAGCGGGAAATGGGAGGGTTGCGGGTGGGAGTTAGGTTATAGGGGGGAAAAAGCCACTGTAATCCAAAAGCTGTACTTTGGAAATTCATATTTATTAAATAAAAGTTAAAAAAAAGAAAGTGCTCTTGAAAAATTTAATATCCATTCATGATTAAAACTGAGAGCAAACTGGGAATAAATAGAACTTCCTTAATCTTGTAGAAGGCATATACAAAACCTTACAACTTAATAGTGAACACTAAAAACTTTACCCCTAATATCAAGAACACAGCAAGTTGTTCTCTCTTAAGATTCTTACTCAACATTATATTGGAAGTTCTAGACGGTACAGTAAAGCAAGAAAAGGAAATGACATCCTGAGGGTGAGAAAGAAAGCAATGAAATGCTATCTATTCACATGTAACTTGATTGTCCATGTAGAGAACCTGAAAGAATCTATATAAAAGGCTCCTAAGACTAGTGAATTTTAGTAAGGTTTCATGGTACAAAATCAATTGCATTTCTGTATATTAAAATGAAAATTTGGACTTTGAAATTTAGAGAACAATGCCTTTATATAATGCACCAAAAGTTTTTCATTCTTAGGTATATATCTAACAAAGTAATATGCAAGATATATATTCTGCAAACTAGAAAATCCTGATGAAAGAAATCAAAGTAGACCAAAATAAATGGAAATATATACTGTATTCATGAACTGTTGCTAAGATGTCAGTTTTCCTAAATTTTTATTTATAAATATATTGTTCTCTGATTATTATAAATAATGAGATCCAGGTTTATAACTGAGAAAGCAGTTACTAATAAGCAAAAGTGTGAGAATGAATCCTTTGGTGCTTGATTAGAATCTGAGGTATCAATATTTACTCATATACACGCTGATAGAAACAGAAGCCCAGATGTGTATACATGGCTAAGTACATACACATGTATCTCCTAGAAACAGTGACATCCCAGTAGCAATGAACACAACGAGTGCTAAGATCTTGATTTCTAAATGTCATTATCCTGTAAAAGGAACCAGGATTCCATGGAAAAGGAGACTCCAGGACTTTGTAGGGAAAATGAACCTGGGGTATCTTGTGGCTCCTGAAAATAAGAAAGTGCTAACCATCACCAATAATGGGAACATGTGGAATACAGGAGCCAGCCTATAAGCCTGGAAAAGCTCTCCATGGCCAAAGCTGGAGATTTGAGTCCAAAATAAATTAAGATATGTTGGGTTATAACTCAAAGGATAAAATAAATATCCACAAGCCCATATTGTTTAAAAAATGTTGAAGAAATGGGCTATTTGATGGGGGAGAAAAGAGAACTCTTCCTACAGAATTCCGATGAATAAATAAGAGACTGAGAGAAGTAGAAAATCACCATTAGAAAACTACATTCAGGAAAAGTGGAGCCAAGATGGCGGAATAGTGAGGACGTACACTGATAGTCTGGGAAAAGATAGTTTAATAAAAGTGGAGTTACTGTAGTTTCAGGGAAAGGCTCGGGAAAAAATTGCAGAGGAAACTCTTCTGGATCTAGTGGATGTGACACGGACGACCTATGGGGAGAGCAAGGATGCCCATGGCTCCGGAGCCCAACCATGGAGTTTATGCATCTGCGCTGAAGGGGAGGTGAGGCAAATGCTCTATAACCCGAGACATTGATGGGGAAACAAGATAGAGCCTAGAGGGAACGAGGCTTGAAGCCCCACTGGGGAAAGTTCACCAGGCTAACTAGAGGAGAGAGGAAAAAAAAAGGGACCAG